GATCGGTAGCTGTGGCCAGAGAAACAAAGCTATTACATAATTGTAGATTTAAAAAACTCTCCTTGGTTTTTTTAATATGTACATGGAAGTATATATGTACAATGACTCCATGTAAGTTCCATGCTGTTAATTTAACAGTGATTAGGGGGTAGGTAAGTTTCAGGAGGAGATGGATGTGACTTATTTTTCCACACACGTTTATGTTGTTTGAATTCCTTTTTTTTTTTTTTTTTAATCTATTGTGTGTCACCTTTATAATTATATAATACTTGTTTTGGGGATGAAGCCCTGGTGGTGCGGTGGTTAAGCTGCTAACCAAAAGGTAGGCAGTTCAGAATCCACCAGCCACTCCTTGGAAACCCTACAGGGCAGTTCTCCTCTGTTCTGTGGGGTTGCTATGAGTTGGAATTGACTCGTCGGCAGCAGATTGATTTTGGGGGAGTAAAACAAAACATATATTAACTTACGCATACTTTTTAAAATTAAATGTACATAATCCATAAAAACGATCTAATAACATCCGCAAACGGTCTGACTCCCGGCCCTGCGTCGGGCTGCTATTGCAGCAGTTTACATACCGTGAGGACGGATGTTGGGCAGCATGTGCCATGAAACCCTCGAGAATCTGAAGAGTTTCGAAAACCACCATGACATATATATGTTTTCCCTCATGAAATGCAGTAAAATACAAATGAAAAATTTAAGCAGCGTCCTCAGATCCCTAATGAGAAATGCAAAGGTAAGTGGAGAACAACAAAGGTCCACTGAGATGTGAGTGCTGGGTAGCTAGTCCTGTTCACTGGCCACATGATTCACGGCCACATGTGAGCTTTGAGGCGAAATTTATCTTCATGCTGCTGCAAAATATTAAATTGTAGTACATTTCAAGGTCATTCAGGCTTTTCAAATAGTCAAACCAAAAAACCAGACCCGCTGCCTACAAGTTGATTCCAACTCACAGCAACCCTGTAGGACGGAGTGGAGTTGCCCCACAGAGTTTCCAAGGCTGTAAGTCTTAACGGAGCAGACTGCCACGTCTTTCTCCCTCGGAGCAGGTGGTGGGTTCGAACCGCCAACTTTTCTGTTAGCAGCTGAGGGCTTAACTGTTGCACCCCAGGGCAATCGTTAAATCCGCGAATGTCGAGGATATGCTGTATCTAAGCAGTCTTCCTCTTTAAAAAAATGTGTTTGTGTGTATATGTTTCAGAATGGGTTTCCTTATTACAAAGAAGGAGCCCTGGTGGCACAGTGGGTTAAGTGCTCGGCTGCTAACCAAAAAGTCGGTAGTTCGAACCTACCACCTGCTCTGAGAGAGAAAGATGTCTAAGTCTTCCGTAAAGATTTATAGCCTTGGAAACCTAATGGGGCAGTTCTACCCTGTCCTGTAGGGTCACTAGGAGTCAGACTCAACTTGATGGCAGTGGGTTTTTTTTTTTTTTTTTTTGTATTACAAAGAAATACATACTCATTGTAGAATTTGGGGAAAATTGTACAAAGAAGAGAATAAACATCCCCTAAGGAGCCCTGATGGCACAGTGGTTAAGAGCTACAGATGCTAACCAAAACGTCAGCAGTTCAAATCCACCAGGGGCTCTTGGAAACCCTCTGGTGCAGTTCTACACTGTCCTTTAGGGTCACTATGAGTCGGAATTGACTCGATGGCAATGGGTTGTATAAGCCCACAATGTAGAAATAACTGTTGCTAAGGATTTTTATATTTAAAAACAGTGATTTAAAAGTTGTTTTATAATGCATCAGTTGGAACTTCAGAATCATTGTGTTTTGTTGGGGCTTTGTTTGTTTTTTGGTTATTTTTTTAACCCATAGAAACTGTTACAAATAGGCAGTAGGTTTCCATGAGAGACTCCCGAGGGGCAGTTATCTACTGACGAAGATGTGGTCCTGAGGACACCCTCCCCCTTGGCTGGGATGCAGCAGCTGCTGTGGGCTCCGGGCCCGTGGTGGCGGGTGTGGGCTCCGGGCCCGTGGAGGCAGGTGTGGGCTCCGGGCCCGTGGAGGCAGGTGTGGGCTCCAGGGCCCGTGGCGGCAGCGGGTGCGGGCTCCCGGGCGCGTGGCAGCAGCAAGGGAGGTGTGAGGACACAGAGTGTGTTGTCAGTTGGGCAACCATTTCTTAAACTGAGTGTTTGAAAGTGCAGACTTAGCTTGTATTGCTTGTTTATGAATTATCTGCTGGGCCTGGTCATGTCTCCATTTCTTTCTGGTTTATCAGAGTATGTCACTGGTTTCTCATATGAAAAGGAGAGAACTCTATGCGCACCATGCGTCCATCGGCTGTGGCACCACTGGGTGGCCACCCTGCAAGTTTAAGCACCTCTGGAAGGCAGGCAGGAAGACAGATACAAAGGAAGAAAATGTCGTGTTGGAGAGAAAACGAGCACAGGAAGGGGGCACAGAGAGGCACTTCTGTTTTCAGAAAAGCTCGGGGGTGACGGCCGGGTGCTGGGTGCTGGGTGCTGGGCTCTGTGGCCCGGTGCTGCGGTGCTGCTCAGGCGGAGCCCATGGGGCCTGCGCTTCCTCCTGGGGAGGCTGCCATGGAGCTGCAGAGGCCCCGCCAGAGGGAGAAGAGACAGGAGAGCGTCCCGTGTTGTTCTGCATTTTATGTTTTGATGGCAAAACTGCAGTGAGTTTCCGTGAAGTGTTCATCTGTTCATTCTTTCAATAATCTCAGTGCTTCTAAGGGTATCAAATTGCAGAAATTTGAGGTCCTATATAATTACCGAAGGAGATTTACAATCTCACTTACTAACTTGTTAGTAATCCCCTCCAAATGACACACACATGCTTTCACATGCTTGGGAGAGGCCCTTGCAGAAGGTGATGCAGTGCGGGTGAAGTGCAGAAAGAAAGGCTTCCCTGCTGCCCGGTGGTCTCTGCGTGGCAGTGCTGCATGACCCGGGAGGACGTGGGGAGTGGCGTCTTCCGCTCTGCCTAGTGGTCTCTGCGTGGCCGTGCTGCGTGGCCCGGGAGGACGTGGGGAGTGGCGTCTTCCCCTCTGCCTAGTGGTCTCTGCATGGCCGTGCTGCGTGACCCGGGCAGAGGCTTCCGGTGACTCTTACAGCCAGCTGGTCAGTGGGTGGAGGGACTGGGGAGGAGGACCTCGGAGTCAGCATTCCTGCTGTCCTCTCATTTGTCTGGGAAACTTTCATGCAAATGTTGATTTGACATGTGGAACATTGTATTTTTCTTCCCTCTTATCTAATTTCCCCACCACCAGCGCCGAAGGCCACAGCTTCTTGCATGACGTAACAAATCCTAGCTGACGAAAGCTCCCATGATTGCAGCTTCAGAGCTCACAAGACCACAGTGATCAGTCTGAAAGGATTCATAGCCCCAGCCAGTCTGTTATGAGTCAGTGCTCTTTTATAGTTAGAGACGTGGAATTTGGGAGGCCCCTGAGGACAGCATCATGCTAAGTTTGCAAATTTGTGTGAGAGACTTGCTTCAGGAAATGTGCTAAACAGCATACGTCTAGTAGTGACCCTCCTTGACATAACGTAGCAAGATGGCAGTACTGTTCACAGTATCTGTTGACCAAGTTGGAGGGAGAAGGGCCACTGTGAATTGGGTGGTTGGAAAAGGCTAGAAGAAAGGAGTGAGAATGAATTTGAGTTGGAGAAGCAGGTGTGGGATGCACATTCCAGGTGTTGGGGTTAGTGAGCAAAGGCCTTGACCCCCTGCTGGGTGTCTAGCAGCTGGCCCCCACCTCGGCCCTGCTGGACCTTACCCGCTGACTTACCCACTCAGGGAAGCCCAGGCTGACATTGACCTGGGAACTCTGAGTACACCTTTCCTCATACAGCTGGGTGTGTGCTTCCTACTCAATTTTTCAAACTAAAGAGAAGCAAAGGAGTAATTAACATGTTGGGGTAATGGCTCCTGCTGAGGGAGGGAGGGGCTTGCGACTGAGAAGAGGTACACAGGGATCAGCTAACAGGGCTCCCGCACGCGACCACGGAGGTCGTCCACATCCAGCTCGGGTGGGGCTGGAGGCCATTCACAGAGGCCCAGGCTCCTCAGGTGCTGGAGAGAATCCATTTCCCAACCTGGGTGGCGGGTGCGTGGGAACTCAGCGTTTTCTCTAGACAGAAGAATACATTATTATTCTCAGAATAGATGTTATTCTCTGCAAAATAATACAGACATTTTATATAGACTTCTGAACATGTGATTGGTTGCACCAGGAGTTGGCAGCCTTTTGCTGTTTCGTATCTTAGGCTTATGGTACACAAGGTCTCTGTCACGACTACTCCCCTCTGCTGCTGTCGTGTGAAAGCGGGCACAGACGCTGTGGTATTCCACCAGGGCTTTATTTACAGACACAGCTGCCGGCTGGATTTGGCTTGGGGACTGTAGTTTACCAGCCCTGAGATGACACAATTAAATCTTTAAAAGAAAATTGTAGGTGTGGCTTATTCAGGTAAGAGTAGAGAGTCTAGAACAAAGGATTCATTGGTGATTTAGTAGAAGATATGGCTGACAACGTAGCCTTCTGTACTCTGTGTTTACTTTTTTCATAAATTATGCCTGTGCAAAGGTTAGACCAAAATTTGACTTCTTTTTTATGAACTGGGGCTTTTTCCTCCAGACTCTAAGATATTTAGAGAAAACTGCTATTGGGACTTCCATTTCATCAGGAAACCATTTATATAGGAACCATCCAGTCTAATTCTTTCATCAATAATAGCAAAAATAACAACAATAATAATACCACCTGTCACCAGTTGATCGTCCCATGTCAGGCACGATGCCAGGTGTTTTACGCACAATTCTGTTCCTCCCAGTAATTCTTCAGAGTAGTTATTAATCTTTGTTTCCACGTTGCAACTGAGAAAGGTTGACTTTTCCAAGGACATGTAGCTAATAAAGCTAAGATTTGAACCTAGATCATTCAACTTCAAAGTTGACAGCCTTTTTTCTACAGCACAGTGGCTCTATTGAAGACATCCTGTTTTAATGCTGCCACATCGATTTTGTTTTAGATTGTCTTCGCAGTTTTACCGACTTAGAAGAACTTGATGAAACGGAGTTATATATGTGTCACAAATGCAAAAAGAAACAAAAGTCCACTAAAAAGTTTTGGATTCAAAAACTACCCAAGGTAAGTGTTGAATTTCGTGTTACGATGCAGTTTCAAGAGAAGAATGCTTGTATCTGATGAGAAGACAAACGCTTTGTATAAGTTTTAGACTGTGAAGTATTCTATGATGGCTTCTCGGGTTTTCAGTAAAAGCTAAACCCTTGGGAATATTTAAGGTATGCATGGAAGAAGGCAATATCAAGGATCAAGAAACTAATAAAAAGCAAAGCCATTGTCGTCGAGTCGATTCTGACTCATAGCAACCCTATAGGACAGAGTAGAACTGCCCCATAGGGTCTCCAAGGAGCAGCCGGTGGATTCAAACTGCTGACCTTTTGGTTGGCAGCCGAGCTCTTAACCACTGTGCCACCAGGGCTCCCAGGAAACTAATAGGGAACCTAAGATATGTTTGAGAGACATTAGTATCCAGTAGTTAATTTTGATTGAAAGGTAAAGTAGGTGTTCATAATCTTTGTCCTTATCTCTGTCACCCAGGTGCTATGCTTACATTTGAAAAGATTTCACTGGACAGCATATTTAAGAAACAAAGTCGACACATATGTAGAGTTCCCCCTGAGAGGTCTAGACATGAAGTGCTACTTGTTAGAGGTAAGGTGATTGCCTTTGTTAGCGCTGTGAAAATATGGTTCTTCCGTAAAGTTCAGCCTTCATGCAGAGGTCATCGAGGTAGGGGACACTGACTTCACTGACTACTGCTCCTAACTCAGTCCTGGGGGGCGCCTTCTCCCTTGTTCTGTAGCCTGAGAACAGTGGCCCAGAGAACTGTCTCTACGACCTCGCGGCTGTGGTGGTGCACCATGGTTCCGGGTGAGTACGTCTGCAGGCTTCTTGTGGTTGGGACTACCTGGCGGCCAGCACAGTGGAGATCTGCAGTTGTGTACCACTGTTGGTTTTTTCACATATGTATGTATATACATCTATATACACACAAACACACACACACGCTTTTTTTTTTATTGGTGGTTGTGGAGAATATACACAGCAGAACATATAGCAGTTCACCAGTTTCTGCATACGCAGTTCAGTGACCCTGATTGTAGTCTTTGAGTTGTGCAGCCATTCTCACCCTTGGTAAAATGGTGAGGGTAGTATCATCAGAACCTGTCTAGCTTCAGAGGGGATAATGATCAGGATCAGGCCAAAGCTGATTTCCATGAGGTGGAAGTCAGACATACCTCCACCCTCCAACCGTTTTACCAATTCTGACACCAGCCGTCCCTCCCACGGCACTCTGCACTTCTCTTGTGGCTTTGATAATCCATTGCAGTGGCCACACACAGCTCACAGACCATACTTACAGTTAAGTGGTTTATTAAGGAAGTAACAGGATACAACTTGGGATCAGGATCAACAGGCTACAACTGAGGATCAGGATCAGGAAACATGTAGGCAAAGTCTCCCTCAGTGCAGGACAGCTCTCTCAGCTCCTCTCAGCTGTGCAGGCCTCCTCTCACCCCCCGAGGAGACAGGCTTCTCTTGGCCTGCTCAGGACAGGCTCCTTTTGGCCCTGCCTTCTTTCACCACCGACTCTGCTGCTGAGTCCCTTCTGCGCCTGTCACTGTCTTCAGTGTTACAGCCCTTGACCTGTGTTACAGCTCTTTTAGGAGGTACCTTGCCTCCTTTCTCTCTGCTTCTTTTCTCTTGCATTTTCTTCTTTCTGCTTCTTACTATCTCAAACTTCTGTAGGGTTAGCTGCTTGTCCTCCTTATCAATTTCAAGGCATAGCCCTCCCACCAGGGCCACAGACACATCATTTACATAGTAGGCTACAGACACTTCATTTGCATGGTCTGTAGTCAGTTCATTTGCATAGTTCATTGACCAGTCCCTGAAAGGTACAAACCAGTCACAGGGCAAGCTGCAGCCCAGGGCCAGACAAAAAGTATCAAACCAAATTGTTTACAGCTTACCCAGGAAATATCAGTCAACCTGGACAAAAGTAACAAACCCTCTGGAGTAGAATACTAGGACGAAGGTAACTTCTTCAGATTTTAGGAGAAAAATCTTTCAAGCTGTTTTTCTCCAAAGAACCAAGGCAGAAGGCTACATAAAGGAACTCATTTCACCACACCCTCCTTTTCTGAGTTGTTCCTCCTCCATAAACTCACTGTCCCCCTGAGATTCCTATCTGATCTTTCCAGTTGCTGTTGTCAGTTTGATCCTATATAGCTAGATCTTAAAAGAGCACAATGCTCAAGGCAGACATTCTTTACTAGTTAAGCTAACCTATTGTTTGGTTTTAAGAAGACTTCAAGGGATAGTTTTGGTTTAAGGTTTAAAGATTATCTCAGGGCAGTGGTTTCAGGGGTTCATCCACCCTCCATGGCTCCAGAAAGTCTAGAGTCCAGAATTTTAAATTCTGTTCTGCATTTTCCCCCTTTTGATCAAGATTCTTCTATGGAATCTTTGATCAAAATGTTCAGTAATGGTAGCTGAGCACCATACAGTTCTTCTGGTCTCATGACAAAGGAGGCAGTTGTTCTCATGGAAGCAATTAGCCACACATTCCATATCCTCCTCCTATTCCTGACTGTCCTCCTTCCTCTGTTGCTCTAGGTGAATAGGCACCAATTGTTGTACCTTGAATGGCCGCTTGCAAGCTTTTGAGACCTGAGGTACTATGCAGCCAACTGGGAGATAGAACAGAGCGCTAAACGTGTTATTAGGCCAGTTAACTGGGGTGTCCCAGGAAACCAGGACCCTGAACCTCCAAACCAAGGAACCAATCCCAGGAGGTGTTTGGTTGTATGCAAGCAGCCCCATCTTGAAAAGAGTCTCTAGGATTTATTCTTTAATTATAGTACTTATTAAATTTTATTGTGTATCTGACGAATTATATGGCTTCACAGATCCTTTTTGATTTCTGCAGTCTTTTTTTATGTTTTTGTTTAATCCTTTGCCTTTCCTTTACAGGGTCGGCTCTGGGCATTACACAGCATTTGCAACTCATGAAGGTCGCTGGTTCCATTTCAATGACAGTACTGTGACACTGACCGATGAAGAGACCGTGCTGAAGGCAAAGGCTTACATCCTTTTTTACGTGGAACGCCAGGCCAAAGCTGGATCCGATAAACTTTAATACCTCCTCTAAATCATTATTCATCAACTATACCGGACAAACATTTCCAATTTTCCATAAATACTTGATCCGAGATTTAATTTCATTATGCACTTTTCAATTTCCTACTTCGGATGTAGTTTTGTCGGCGGTAGTGACTTACTGAACATGGGCACCAACTAATTTTTTTTTTTTTAGTTCTACCAGAAAACCTCAGCAGACATCTTGATTTGCTGCTTTTAGTTGTAATAATTCAATTTTTATATGTAGTTTCAAAAACTTAGTTCTATTTGACTTTTTTATATTAATGTTTTCAGTTCTCACTCTGAGGCACATTTACATCAACGCTTTTGTTACTCTCACACACAGAAAGCAAGATATATGTTCCTGATTGTGAAGAGCAACACAACTGCCTGCTGCCCTGTCACAGCGGTTACGGAGATCAGGTTGACTCTAAATCAGAGGATCATGTGTGCACATGATTTGTGGCCCACGAGATTTCACAGTGGCTGCTCGCAGTGACTCTTGTTGCCCGAGCAGATACCTGAGAGGGCGGAGCGTTAAGTAGACCAGGTAGCTGCTGCATCGGCGGCGCTCAAGGCTGCTGTCCCTTAGCACTAACAAAATAAATTTGGTTCAGTTGTACCTGTACTGCACATTCCAGAATTACTGTTTGTTGGGGTTTTTGGTTTGGGGGTATTCTTTGTTGTTGTTGTTGTTTTAATGGGGGAAGATAGGATGAGAGTACAGAAAAGTCCAGTAGATCAGATTCATTTAGTGTTTAAAAATTCTGTGACTCAGCTACACGGTAGTGTTATCCAGTGAGAGAAGATTGTAGTGTCTCTTTGCCCTTTTGAATCATTAGTTGTAGCACTGGGAGTAATTGCACGTCCACTTGAGTCTTACTTCGTGCTCAGCCATCCGAGGTTGAGATGCTAACCTCACCTACACCTCAGGTGGTCACTGTAGGGCCTGCTTTCTTGGAAGAAAAGCAGACTGAGTCTTTGCTACTTTGAGTTTTAACAACTCTTACTGGCCTATCTTGAGAGCAGAGCAAGTTGAAAATATTCTCACTTTGAATAAGTAGAGTTTCTATTCTTGAGTTCAGTAGTCTTTGTTTTAAAATGTGTTTTCAAGAAAAATAGGTACAAAGCCTATTTAGATTTAACTCAAATTGAAATTTGGAACCAGAATTCCATTTAAAGCAGCTCACTGTGGTGTCTGCCAGCGTTCTAAGCCATTCTCTTGATTTTGGGGTAGTTGTGGCATTACTTTGGAGCCCTGGTGGCACAGTGGTTAAAGCACTTGGCTGGTAACTGAAAAGTCGGCAGTTTGAACCCAGCAGGTGCTCCATGGGAGAAAGATGTGGCAGTCTGCTTCCATAAATATTTATAGCCCTGGAAACCCTATGGGGCAGTTCTACTCTGTCCTACAGGGTCGCTCTGAGTCATTTGACTTGAGGGCAGTGGGTTTGGTTTGGTGGTCTGGTGGAATTACTTGCCAGTTATTTAGAGAGGAGGATTTCCAAAGTAGGCGTAGGCCCGCTTAGCGTTTTCATGTCCGTCTCTTGCCCCAGTCATTATTTTTCTCCCCCTCAGTCCTCTACAGGTTGTTATGGGGGACAGAATGTATTTCATGTTAAGCCAGCCAACCAGACTTTTTGGTAATCCTGTTTTTTCTAAAAGGAAGAAACGGGCAAGATAAGTGTATGAATGCGAACGAAGGTTAGTGTCACTGGTGGCATTCTGCCTGGCTCAGCTGCCTGAAGCTGCAGGAGCAGATGTGGCTCTCTTTCCGCTGGCTGGGTACATCCCACACCTTTCTCAGAGCAGAACGCAGCTGCTAGATGAACACTTTCAGGTGACAACGAGCAAATTGCAATGAAGTCTAAAATTGCACTGTCCCACACAGCCGCTAGCCGCGTGTGGCTACTTAAATTTAAAAACTCAGGTTCCTCGGTCACACTAGCCACATTTCAGGTGTTCAGCAGCACATCTGGCATGGGCAGCGCAGGTCTGGAACACTTCTGTCATTGCCCAGAGTGCTCCTGGATGGGGCTTGTCTACACTGTCACCAGAGTTCAGGTCTAAGAACTTAGCAACAAAGGGTCCTAGGAGATAATTAAGAGAGAAACATAGATTTAAAATTCGACTCAGAGACTCTATAGGACAGAGTAAAACTACCCCATAGGGTTTCCAGACAGTAGCTGGTGGATTCAAACTGCTGACCTTTTGGTTAGCAGCTGAGCTCTTAACCACTGTGCCACCAGGGCTCCCATATTTAAAATAGTTGCTAAATTAGGTTGAACCATATTAAATTGTGATTTTTTTTTTTTTTTTTGCCTACAAAAATGGCAGTTTGACATGATTTGATCTGCCATATCAATACAGTAATACCATGTCTAAATGAACCTGAAACATGAGTCTCCTTTGATCTTGCTAATTATCTCCTATGATTCTGGGCTCGTTTGTTTATTAGGAGGTAGAGGTAGACAGCTGTCACCTTTTACACTGAGGTCTTTTCACACTAGTCTCTCTGGATGGGCAGCTTTATAACTTAACTGATAAAGACTTGGGTAGTGTTCACGTTGGTGAGGAAAAGCTCTTCTTATACCAAATGGAACTTAGCAGCAGGCTGGGCTGCCTTGTCGGGAACGTGGTCTTCCGACAGGCAGCACCGTTGGCCTCAGAGATGGACACGTCTCCTCTGCAAATGGGTGTAGCGTTTGTATTGCTTGACTTGACTTTGCAGAGATGTCTGGATGCTGTCATGAAGGCTCTTTGGGAAAAGTGATTGGATCCACTTGAACTGTACACTTGAACGCCAGTGATGTAAATGTGCCTGTTTCTTCTTAGAGATTTGACTGTGTAGCCTTATCACACCGACTTTGAAAGCTGATCTTTTTGTGCTCTTCAGGGATTTCCCTTGTGCCATGTTGTCTCTAGCATGGATGTGGCTTCTCATTCAGAGAGCTGCTGCTGAGGCAGGGCCTCACGCCAAGTGACGTGGCTCCTTGGAACCAGAAAACTTTCTTAGAATTCCTCCCACACAGGTGGGTGATAGAAACAGTTTGTGGCAACACAAATCTCTCTCCATGGTGGAGAAACCTTTGCTTATCCACTGTATTCTGCTCAGTGTGTACTGCTGATAAATGTAACAGAATGAAACCCGTCAAGTGTGCTGGCCTGGTGAGGTGTTAAAGGTGTGTCTCACCGGTGGAAGCTCCTCAGCAGCTCGGTACCTGGGGCCGGGAGCGTATTTCTGTCTTAAAGCCAAGCCTCGCCTTCGCTGGTTTAGCGTACGCAGTCCATTTAGAGACTTACCCCGCCCCGGCCTCCTCCACGCCCTGCCTTCTCTCGTGTGCCCCGTTGCTGACGTGGCCCCAGAAGGGCTCAGGGGTGAAGTCCCGGCCTGCAGCCTGTCCTGTGCCCTGGGGACCGGGGTGCAGCACGGGAAGGAGAAGCGGGTGCATGGTGGTGTCCTGCTGTCTTCTCAGGTCTTTGCGTCGTGTCACGGGGTGTGGCCCCCTTCCCTGAGCTCTGAGCGTGATGGGCTCCAGGCTGCCCCCCAGGAGCGCTGGCCACGCTGTAGTCATTTGCCATTAAAACCTACTGTGTGCGACGCCGAGGGGATTGTTGAATCGTGCAAGTAACTGGTTTTAAATTGTAATCACATCCCTTTAATGCTTCACCAACTTGAACTGTTCATGGAAAGCATCATTAAAATTCTGGTCTCCTTTTGACTATTATTTCTCAACACCTTTCAGTAGAGCCAAGTAAATGATGATGGACTTGCTCAAGCCGTGGGCCTTGGCAGTCCAACGCCGAGTAGCAAGTGCTCACGGAATCCCCACGATTTGGGGCTGCTGTGGCCTTGGGCCAGGGTGGGGCCGCCAGTATGGGCAGTGACGGCTGGGAGGACATCCTTGGGTGGCTGAGGCAGGAGCCGAATGAAATCATCCTGCCTTTCCTGTGACTGCTGAGCTTATAAAAAAGCGGTCCCCTTGGCCTCCTTCAGAGCTGGACTCTATCCTGAGGGACCAGTTTCTGGGTTCAGATCAAAGGATACTGGTTGGCTTTTAAAATAAAAGACAAGTAAGTGCTATTGTTAGAAAATAAACAGTTAAGGTAAGCTTTAAGGTAAAAAGCTCCAGTCTACCACCTCTCCCCCCACAACTCTACAGAAAGAAACAGGACGGCGCTGTTTCCACACCCCTTGTATTTCACTTTTGCCTGTTCCTGCCTTCTAAAATTGAAGACAGAGATTCCTGGGGCTCAAATCAGTCCCCTCCAGGTCCCCTGAGGCAGCTGTGCTGGTCCGCGGGTGTGGCTGTGGGCCAGACGGCACAGCTCAGAGGGGACTGGAAAGGCCTTTGGGGAGCTGTTCACCTCGCCGCCCTGGCTGGGGGGTGAACCCCTCCCTGCTGCCGTGCATGCCGTGTGGGGCCACCGCTGTTCTCTGGGGTGCTTCTTACAACCCACCTGGAGGAGAAGCCAAGGGTCATGGAGGCGGCTGGGGAAGCATCATGAACCCGAGGGTCTCCTCAGCGCGGGGCGTGATCACACTGCTCTGCCTTTAAAGAAGCTGAACGGCACCGCCTGTTCCCAGGGGTCAGTGCTCTGTGAAAAGTGATGGTTTGGAAAGGACTTGGAAGGAAGGTGGAAGGAATAAGGCTTTCTATTAAGCCTACCTGCGGGGCTGCAGCATCCCTTCTGAGTGAGGCACAACTAGCCGGAGCCCAGGAGGGGCTTCAGACGTCAGCCGTGCTTTTGAACAATCACAAATAATGAGCTCGCAGTACTCCCAGTAGCTGGTTACCCTTTTCCTCGAAAAATCCTTCCTTTTAGTTGTTTCTTGTTCTGTGTCACGTTGGTGGAGGTGGGTTAAAGGGGGCACGGGCGGTCACTGGACACCGGCTTCCCAGGAGGGAGCTGATGAGAAAGGGCCGTTTTTCCTCCCCGTAGCTGCACTGTGCCTTTGGAGGCAGAGCTGCCCAGGCCCGACGGAGCCGTAAATCTAGAGGAGGGTGCAGTGCAGCTGCTTCACGGGTGTGGTTGCACGTGATTGGGAAACAGCATTCCCACGCTCCAGTTCTGATCAAGCGGGAGAACAGACAGGTGCCCACTGAGGCGTCCGCCGGGCTGGCAGAGGAAGCGCTGTCCTCATCACACTGCCACATGGGTGGGTGCAGCCTTTGCTATCAGCATCACCCCTGCCCCCAACAAACCAATAAACAAAGCGAGGAATTCACAGAGGATTTAAGGGCAGGGGCATGGGATTGGGAGTGACGCAGTATTAGAAAATGGATCCAGCATCTTGTGAAACCTTGGATACTTCAGAAAGGGAAAACCTGAGGGGCACATCCCCAGGCAGCTTGGCTGGAGGTAGATCTGGGAGGGGGCACAGGGACCAACCAGTTCTCTAAAAGGAACTGAAGGCAATCAATCAGAAAAAACACCCCCACTGCCTCTGAGCTGATCCCAACCGATGGTGACCCTGTGTGTGCAGAGTACAACTGTGCTCCATACGGCATTCATGGCTGTGATCTTTTGGAAGGAGATGGCCAGGCCTTTCTTCCAAGGTGCCTCTAGGTGAGTTAGAACCACCAACCTTTTGGTTAGTGGCCAAGCACTTAACCGTGTTTGCCACCCAGAGTCACAAAGAAGGAATGCCAAAGGGGGTGGTGAAAAGGGCAAGCCGAGACTAAAGTAATTCCAGGCAATTTGTATTAAGAAAGAGCTACCTTGTCCATCCCTGACGTGGGAAATACAGGCTGGATACCGCAGAACAGCATAACCGGGCACATGTCAAGGCAAGTAAACAAGTTTAAAATACACGCACGTGCGCACACAGAACAACCTGAAAGATAAGCTATTTAAATCTTTTATGAAACAAGTCAGGGTGAAAACAGCAGGTTGGGAGGCCAAGGAAATCCCTCTGCCAAGTGCAGGGCCGCCGGACTGGAAGGCGCTCAGCCTCGCCTGGAAACCATCACCTGACTGAGCAAAAACGTCATGGAGAAAAGAGGCATTGCCCGTGGATTCAGCTTACAGCTCTGAGCGCCTAACTGCCGTCCTTAGCCCTTTGAGACAACAGCCTCTTCCTAGGAAGGGCGCAGTAGAAGGTTCCTGATGTCCTAGGAAGTCAGAACTGCTCCTGTTTATGAGAGGCCCTTCCAGTGAACCACGTGAATGAAAATGCCGCGGGAAAAGCCACGGGTTCCCCGCTGAACACCATCGCCACTGTCCGTGAAGAGGGAAAGAAATCTCTTTTAAGGAAACTCGGTAACTTCAATAGGCTGCTTGTTTGCCAGGGTTTCAGTCCCTCCGAACGGAAGCCGAACCACAGACGGGTGCACGTATGTCTGGATCCTGGCTCGCTGGCTTCCCCCTCCTCAGAGCTTCAGCACCAGTTGTTAGCCAAAAATAAACACCATTCCTCAACCATATATGTCCAGCAGCCCCGAGCTGGGGAGGAGCAGAGGCGGCGGCCGGCGCCCGGGGCCCCAGCCCGGCGGCACTCGCGGGCTCACCATGCACATAACGCAGCTCAACCACGAGTGCTTGCTGCACCTCTTCTCCTTCCTGGACAAGGACAGCAGGAAGAGCCTCGCCGGGACCTGCTCGCGGCTCCGGGCCGTGTTTGAGGACCCCGCGCTCTGGCCCCTGCTGCATTTCCGCTCCCTCGCAGAGCTCACGAAGGACAACTTCCTGCTGGGCCCGGCGCTCCGGAGCCTCTCCATCTGCTGGCACTCCAGCCGCGTGCGGGTGTGCAGCATCGAGGACTGGCTCAAGAGCGCCTTCCAGAGAAGCATCTGCAGCCGCCACGAGAGCCTGGTGAATGACTTCCTCCTCCAGGTGTGCGACAGGTAGGCGCCCGCCGCGGAGGGGCACAGGGAAGCGCAGCCGAGCCGACGAGATGGCTCCGCCCAAGTCCGACGCCCCAGGCCCCGTCCAGGGTGCGGTCCCAGGAGGGGATAAAACCACGGGGGAAACCACTGCTAATCCTCCAGCCTCGCGGGTCCCGGACCTGCTCCTGCTGCGGAAAAGCGGCTGCAGCTGTTCGTGTCCCTGGGGAGCCGTCCTCCCTGGCCGCCGCAGAGTGCAGGGCGGGTGCAGCTGGCCCTGGGTTTTCAAGGTCGGGGCCCAGGAAGGCCAGACGCGGCAGTCACCCCTCCGGTCTCCCCCGGGAAGCTACCGTAAGGCCTGTGAAACGCTGCTTGAGGAAGGGGTGCTAGGCTTACTCATCTTCACAGCTGTTCCAGGGGAGGAAGCTACAGCCTAATTTTAAATCTTAGCCTAGTTTCTCAAGTGAGCAAGCAGAGGCTCTGCGAAGCGGTGCACTGTGCCCACAGTCTAAGCTTTACCAGGTGCTTTGCTGTAGTGGGTGAAGGTCCTTCCCTCGCCGTCCCCGCTCCCTCTAGTCTGACTTCTGGGCCTTGCTGTCGTCAGCTGCCCTGGAGTCAGGCCCCAACTCCAGGCGACAGTGGAATGAAATGCTGCCCGGTCCAACACCATCCCCACGACTAGTTGTAGATGGGACTGTTGTGATCCATGGGGTTTTCACTGGGTGATTTTCAGAAGCAGATCACCAGGCGTTTCTTCCTAGTCTGTCTTAGTCTGGAAGCTCGGCTGAAACCTGTCCATCATCATAGCAGCACGCCAGTGTCCACTGAGACAGGTAGTGGCTGCACATGAGGTGCACTGGCCCGGAATTGAACTCAGGTCTACCGCACAGAAGGCAAGAATTCTGCTGTCAAAACGGCTTGGTCGCTTTGGCCCAGCAAGGCCCAGGCGTTTGTTGACAAAGCCAGTATGTCACCATTGGCCCACGCCATGGTCCTTGGTGGGCAAGGGTCTCTGACAAGCAGAGGGGGACAGGAGAGCTGAGTGAGAGCAGCACAGGCGAGTCATTTGAGCTCCGGACCAGCTTCCTCATTCACAAACGGGGTCGTGGGGGGGCGCAGAAGGTCGTTGTGACAACAAAGGGAAGGCATGGGAACCTGGGGAGCTGGAGCAGAGCAGGCGCTAGTGGGGCTGGAGCAGAGAGGCCAGAGAGCTGACACACGCCTGAGGGCCTGGTCCTCGCTGCCTCTGGTTCCTGAATTGTTCCAGGCTGGCATCCAAGTGGGGGTGCAGTAACTGCCCCCAGTCAGTTGAGCTGAAATCAGGGCTCTAGAATCCAGAGCCATGCCCTGCATCTCATGGGTCAGGATGGGCCTGTCACTAAGCACCCCTCCCCACCACCAAGGAAACCCCTTCTCCCACCCAAGTCCTGCCAGGGACATTCAGGGGTCTCGGTGTGAAGCTGGACTGGGGCAGTCACCACACACACCGCCTTTCCCTAACCCCCGAAGGCAACAAATCCAGAGAACCAAAGAAACAACAGTTGTCAAATGGCATCCCCTCTGTCCACAGCAGCCCCTGGGCCTCTCTAGGTGGCCAGTGTTGGATTCCCCATTGGGAGTTCCTGGGGTAAGAGCCAAGAACCTCACAGGGCCAGCCCCCGTGCTTCATGCAGATTAAGCTGTGGTGGAGTGGCAAAGGGCAGGGAAAACAGGCTAGAAAGCCCTGGTTGAAATCCTGGCTGCATCGTTGCCGGCAAGTTCCTTAAATTTGCTCAGCCTGTTTCCGCAGGTGTAAACGGGTCCAGGGCTGTTACGTGGGTTTAATGCAGGGCTTAAAACCGGTTCTTTCCAGCAGCCACCGCCAAGGAAGCCACACTGGAATAGACCCAAATTTTTATAATTTAGGTGAACCGGAACCGTAACCAGAATGGGAAGGGAAATGGGAACGGGAAAAATGACGGGTGGAAGCCCTGCTAGAAACTTAATCTCCCTCTCTGAGAACAAGGGCAGCGTATGCGTTGCATGGCAACCAAATCTCTTGCCCATGGGATTTCCAGCAGAGCCCAAACCGCGGCGCCCGCTCAAAGATGAGGGTCCGTCCTGCAGCACTGAACGCGTGTCGCTCCCCACAGTCCTGCCAGTCATCCAATGACACGCTTCAAGCCCCTGAAGGGGCCCACCACCCCTATTCCGAGTCTCCCATTCCAGGGCTTTGGCCTGTAATTTTTTCCATTCCAGATCACCCAAATTATAAAAAGTTTGGGTCTGTTCTGGTTTTGCTTCATCGACCATGATCGAGCCGTTGAGTCCCTGGAAGGGGCCAGGACGGGCGGGCCTTGGCGGGGCAGAGGATGCCCTCCTCGCCCTTTGCCTAGGTCACCTTGCTCTCCCTACAGGTGCCCCAACTTGGCGTCCGTCACGCTGTCGGGCTGCGGCCACGTCACCGACGACTGCCTGGTGCGCCTGCTGTGCTGCTGCCCGCGCCTGCGCGCGCTGCGCCTGGAGAACTGCGCGCGCGTCACCAACCGCACGCTGGCGGCCGTGGCGGCGCAGGGGCGCGCGCTGCAGACTCTGCACGTGGACTTCTGCCGCAACGTGAGCGCGGCCGGCCTGCACCGCCTCCGCGCCGCGTGCCCGCGCCTGGCGCTGCGCGCCGAGCACAGTGCAGCCATGATGCCAGATCAGCCCCAGCGCGGCGCTGCCGCGCACGGTACGGCCTTCCGCAAGCTGCTGCCGCGCTAGGCGGCGGGGAGGACGCCCGGTGGAGGGCTCTGGGTGGGCGGAGCGCGGGCTGAGCCGTTGGGTCGTCCTGACCTCGAGCCTCAGCCCCTCCACGGATGAGTGGCTACATCTTGTGAGCCTGTTTCCCCGGCTGCAAAATGGGGATAATAATGTCTACCTCACATCACGATTTTATACATGGGATGCGTCTGGGAGATTAAATGAATGGATGCATGGGAAACACTCGGTGGTTCTACCTAAACGTCAGCTCCTTTCCCGTCTGCCTCCCGGGGCCTCTCTCCTGCCCCATCATCGCAGCAGCAGGAGGCGCCTACACCGTCCTGGGGGATTCCGGCCGCTGTCCCGAGTCTAAATAGAACCCCAGTGTGGCGGACGTGACCATTCGCTGGTCGCACGTTGCGCTCTGGGCTCAACGCGGGGCGCGCACCCGGGGTGGGTTTGGAGGCTTCGGGAACGGGGTTCAGCGAACCTGGCACTGCCGGTGCGCGGCCTAGTGGGGCCTGCGGGGCGCAGAGCACCGGTCTCGGCGGCTCCCCGAGTTCCCAGGCTGCCCTCGCTCCCGTGTGAACAGAGATGGCCTTGGTTAAGTCCTTTGATTACAGGACCATTGCAAGCTGAGGCGAAGCTAGATTTTCACCTGCTGAACGTGGGTGCGTCCGGACTTTAGCCACTGGTGACCCACATCTAGCCACCAAAGTACAGGCACCTAGTCAATACTGGGGCCACCCATTATAGCCGTCCTCGTTCCAGGAACCTGGGGCAAACCTTGGGTAAGTCCAGTCCGGGAGGCGGGAAGTGGTGGGCGAAGCTCACGCTGCCAGCCCCACACACTGCCAGCTGCGACCTCCTTGAGTCCCTTCTCTGCGAAAGGGGAATCTTGATCCCTGCTCACGGCCTCCTTCATTCGTTAGACAAATATTGGGGATACAACAAGTTCTGTTCTCACGGAGCGTGCGTTCTAGTGGGGAAGAGGTGATAAATAATTGCACTATAAGAAGGTAGTAAGTACGGGGCGGGGGCGGAGTGTTGGCAAAGGGTTGACCACCGTAAGCCTTCCTGAGAAGGTAACATTTGCACAAAGGCTGAAGGAAAGGAGGCAGGGAGCCTAGCGCCATCTGGAGGCAAACATTCCAGCCTGGGGGAACAGCGAGCACAAAGGCCCTGGGGTAGGGCTGGACCCGGATAAGTGAGGGGAAGAGCAGAGATGTAAGGCATGACGGCAGCCTTTGAATGGACGGGTTATTGCGATAATGAAAGCGACCTCCAGGTCCCCCACCCCAGCCCCAGCAGGTGCCAGGCCCCACGCAGAGATGCTAGCCAGGTGAAGTCCCAGGTGCTGAAATTTCTCCAAGCAGAAGATGTAGGCAGGCGGCAACACCCTACCCCTCTGGGGACTGCTGAAGGGCTCATTTGCTGCCCCTGGGTCCCTGGCTGGGCTAGCATTTACCCCAACAACAGGGTCCCGGCACTGAGCCCCAGCATAATCCCTCCCGCCACCGGCTGCAGAGGAGCGGGCGGCCCCACTCCTGGCCTGTGAGGCCCGGGCTTCGTCCTGGTCATCTTCCAGTCTACCCACCATTGCTCTCAACTCTGGAGACACGCCTCACAGGGACTTTATCTCCCACTGGTGCTAACAATGCTGAAAGAAAACTCAGGCGTTCAAGGGTTAAATGTCGAAAACAGAACCACTTAAGCCCCAGGGCTTTGCTTTCGTCATCTCCCACCACGAGCCCCAACGCACAGCAGGCCCTGCTTGTCCGAGTGGGAGATTTAGCTCGGGGAGGGCTCTAATGCATCCCGGCTTCCATCCCCTTGCTCTCACCTGCTAGCCCCGTGAGGGCACCTCAGCCCTGTCCAAACCTCAGCTTTACCCGCATTGGGGATAGCAAGAAAAACCTCGTTTACAGCGTTCTCGTGAGGATTATGAGATTGTGTTTGGGAAGCGGGGTCGCTGTGGGTTCAGCTCCAGCCAGATGACCTTTATTCCCCAGGGCCCCCCTTTTCCACGGAAGCTTTTTTATAACTGAGGGTTAAGTTCCCTCAGATGCCTAGTAACCCCCCCACATACCAGGACTGGCAAGTGCAGAACTACAGCTGTGCAGAGGCTGTGTCTAACAGTTTCTGTAGAAAATACATCCTGAGCTCTAATTCGGCTATGGATGCATCCTGCCAACCCCCGACCGCACCCCCCAGGGCCAGGGGAGGTCCTCCCAGGAGGCTGGCGGGATTAGACCGACAGCTGTCCACTCTGCCTCCTAAGTCACTGCTCACCACCACCACCAGGCACTGGGCTAAGCACTCCACAGAACAAAACAACCTGACTCATGGCGACCCCGTGTGTTTGTTAGAGTCAGACTGAGCTCCACACGGTTTTCTTGGCTGGAATCTTTACGGAAGCAAATTGCCAGGACTTTCTTCCGAGGCACTGCTGGGTGGGTTAGAACTGCCAACCTTTTGGTTAGCAGCCGAGCATAAACGGTTTGCACCTCCCAGGGACCTACTTGGCAGAACACAGTGCCCTATTTGATCTTAAAAACAACTTTCAAAGTCTTCTTTAAGGTTTGCATAAATCAAAGGGAACTGCGTGCTTAATCCACCGACTCGTTCATCTCAGACGTTCACTGGGCATCGGCCACGGGCTGGGCCAGGCCCTGCCTCGAGGGGCTCCCACTCTAGTGCTAGAGAAGACACGCCACGGGGGTTGAGAGGTATCCTTGAGTCATCTCCCAGCTCTGCCGTCCATGGCGTCTGACCAGCTCTGAGCCTGTGTGTGGTTCAAACTCACCAGCCACTTCAGGGGAGAAGGATGCGGCAGTCTGCTTCTGTAAAGATTTACAGCCTTGGAAACCACCACCCAGGGACTCCTGATACCAAATTAGCTGTGGCTAATTCTCTTCACTAATCCTGAGGTCTGCCATGATTAGGTTCTCCCTAAATGAAATAAACTTTCAGTTAATTGGGTCTTCTGAGTAACAAGAGGGAACCTCTAAAGTCAGATGCTTCCTGCCTGCTTTGCACACTGGACTGCGGGAGGGAAGGGGCAGACCACCCACTGGGGGACGCAGGTGCCACACAGACTGCCATGTGCGCCCCAGGCCCACAAATCAGTTGTGCGCACAGCACCTGCAGAGCTCTCTGAGAAGGGTGGCCGGGCAGAGGGGCCGAAGCGAGGGCCCTGGGGTGAGGTAACAGAGAGAAGAGACCCCAGACAACAGAAGAACACATGAAAACGGTCTTCTGTACTGGCAAGGTCCTCAGAAGCGTGACGGAACGTGCCTCAGTGTGAAGGAATGTTCCTGAATTCTGTCAGAGAGAGAAGGGACGGAGAGCCCTGTGCGGGGGCTGACGTCTGGCTCGACGGCAACCCTGTCAGAAGCTCCACGGGAAGGGACAAAAGCAGCCCAGGCTCGGATTCCTGAATCTGCTTTATTTCTCTGCGTAAGGAACCCTGCACAGGCAATTCAAATTAAAACAAAATAAATATATGAATATTCATGTAAAACTGTCCTTTCTAATGAACAATTATACACAATGTACAATTTCATGTTCACTGGGTGGGTTTACAAAAATGTACCATTCCCAACTAAAAATGCACCAAAATGGTTCCATGCAAACTTACCAAAAGTGACCAAAAATATGGAGGGAGAAACCTGACTGAGAGCACTTCGTCTTTTTTTTTTTTTTGGTACAATCACAGAAAAATAAAAACATCTAATTTCCTCTGCTACATTTAGAGTAACTAAACGTGGCCACTGTTTTTAATGTCGGTTTATGTTCCTAAAACATCTATGTAGTTACCATAAAAGTACACCCACATGAAGCTGGAAGTGAGCATCACTGAGCAGAAGGGGGCGGCGGCGCCCACGGGGCGGTCAGTAGTCCGCGTCAGGGCCCTCCGCGTGGTCCACGGGGCGGTCAGTAGTCCGCGTCAGGGCCCTCCGCGTGGTCCACGGGGCGGTCAGTAGTCCGTGTCAGAGCCCTCCGCGTTGTCCACGTTGCGCGAGAGCATGTAGTTGTCCATGTCGATGGAGCGGCAGTTGTTGATGGCGTAGCGCAGACGCTCGGCCATGACCGGCTGGCTGGAGTAGGGCGGCAGCCTCAGCTGGAAGAAGCAGGTCTGTGAGGTAGGCAGACTGTCGTAGGGCTGTGGAGAGAGAGACCGAGGCCGTGACTGCGGGTAGTTGTGTACATCACCACTGCAAGGCAGGAAGGCCCCTCTCCCGCCTGTAAGATGGGGCTCCATGGACGTAACTGTCTGGCCAGCTTGAGTGGGAAGCAGAGGCTGGGCCATGGAGAAAGGGTGCAGCTTTTGGTGAAGGGCACCTGCTTCCTCTCCTCGCCCCCTTCAATGCCCTCACACATAAAGTGAGAAGCAGCCCTGACTTGCAGCATTACTTGAGGGGGCACCCTTAGCACATCCTGGCACAGAGTAGGGGTATAGTAAGAGTTCATTCACTTCCACCAAGAGGGCTCAGCCTTGAGGCCACCTGCAGGGACCCCGCAGAGCAGGTGAACCGGAAGGGCAAGGAGTGAGGTGCCTCCTCCTTCCTCACAGACCTCCTGGTCCGCATTCCGCATCCTTCATCCCCCGTGGCTGCCAGCACGCAGCGCAGACAAGGAAGGGAGCAGTTCATTAAAACCCAATCTATCCAGTTAACTGACAGTGATGCAGCCAATTAAAACGAGAATTCTAACAACTCCCAGCAAAGCTGAAAAGTGCTCAGGATAGACTACCTGGCGAGAAGCAGAATGCAAAACTCTTTAACTACATCACGCAAAAATGTGTATGCTTGAGGCAAAGACGGGGAGGAAATACAGGAAAGCAAGAATGGCTACCGTCTGGCAGGGTTCTATATGTTCCCTGCCCCTCCCGGCAAATGCAACCATTTTCCAAACTATTTGTAATGCTAGTAATGTTGTTTTTATACATAAAAAAAAAAAAAAAAAGTTTTCAAGAAGCAGCTGCCCTGCTCTTTCTTGCTCAGGAGGGCAGGGAGCCCACACAAGGTCAGAGGGACGGCCTGCAGCCTCGCCGCCCAGCCAGTGACGGCAGGGACAGCGCTGACGCTGAAAACAGCACGTCAGCCCGGTGACACCAAGCGGGAATCGCCAACAGGTGGCTCTGATTACTTCCATTTGGCGACTGGCAAAATGGCCTAAAAGCCACAAAGAAGAGGCCCCAGGGGTCCGTGATGGATTAATTCTGGGGTGGGGGGCTGGGGGGAGCCCAAGGCAGACATAAGGTAACGGCTCTCTCCAGATCTGAATAAAAGTGAACCATTTCCCCCTCCCCACCTCTCTCTGAAGCAACAAAACAGATTTACAACTTATGGTTTCTGGCAAGTCATGTAGAAAATGTATGGAAAAGCTCTTTTCAGAGGGCTTGCTGTGTGTGGCCTCTCCCGTGAGCCTAGCCCCAGAGCAC